ACATAGAGGTTAAAATGATAAGTTGAAATAAATGTGAACTGATGCACTTACTTGTTGGCTCTTAAATGTGATTGATTTAAGTGTAGAGCTCCTCTTTAACTCTCTGGTTTGTAACTCTGACCTTCACAATTAGCTCTAGTACATCTGCAAGTGGTTCATTTTCACTCGGCTATCTCTAATCTCACTGCAGTTATTCTGTTAATGGTTTTGTAACTATCCAAATACATCTGCTGTGTCTCCCTTCAATTGCATCCAGGGGCTACGATTACCAGGACGATCAAACCACTTGCTGGCAGTAAAACAGTCTGTTCACAAGAACTGGAAAAATGTCATATTTCAGTAAAACTGACTGCAAGATCCAGCACAGGGTCAGCCTGGGAGCTCACCTGGCCCAGCAGCAGAGGGTATCAGAGGAATGAGACAGAGCCAGGCTCAGACACTGCAGCCAGGACATTGTGTAGGTGATAATACATCATGACAAGACATTCCACAGCTTAACTATATCAAACACAACTACCTTTTGTTTTGAATAAGCTGTTGTCAGACTAATTTGGTATCTCTTGGTAGAAATGAAAGTCCTGTCATCCTTTTGCTGGCCTGGAGAGTCCCAGTCTGCTTTAGCTGGTCCTTGTCTGCTGATTTCCCTCATGCTCTTCTTTGTAGCTTGTGTCTTGTTCAATCATTACCTTCTGTTATGTGAGACAAAAAATGCAGGCAATATTCAAAATGGGACTAACTGGCACAATGGTAAAGTGATGTCTTCTGGGTTTTGTTTCCTGTCTTCTTATTTGATTTGTCTTTTTGCCTACGCCTGAGCATTAAAGAACATTATACCACAACTATCTTTGGTAGCTCCAAATCTAGTTTGAGTGGGAAAGGTCAGAAACCACATGCCTTGAAAGTGGGAGAAATTTACAGAGGTACCTCATTTCACTTCTATTTGTCACTTTGTTACTTGGCTTGTTGGTACTGTGAGGTCCTTACACCTGTCTGAGCAAAACATATTCTAGTCACAGGGATCTCCTTTTGACCTGTATTATTTGGATTAAATTGCTGGAAGTAATAATCAAACGTTTGTTGTTTTTAGGGATGGTCAATATATCACTGTCATTAGTTGTTTCTGATGTGCAAAAGTGTTGTAGCCCTACGGAGAACATTTTGTCTGCTCAGCTCAAGGGCAGAGCACTCCAGATGCATCTGTGAGTCCTATTTAGCTTTTAAATAAGTTCCTACGGAGCTCTGCATGCTTTTGTCTGTTGATTAAATAGAAAAGATTCTGGCTTTTTAAAGCTATGTACAGGGTTTTTTTCAGTGCCTGGAGGTTTATAGATTTTTGTGTGTGTGATACCAGTCTAACATAGCTATTGAGAAAACAAAGGCATCCATAAACTTGCTGTTATGTATTCCTTTATCTTTGTTTCAAGTTAATCGACAAGAGAGCTGAATTGCTCTACAGGGGGTGGCTCTGGGTAAAATAGCCCCATCTGAAGGCAGGCTGGCAGCTCCAGGACTGCTCCCCATTGAGTCACACAAACACCTGTGCTGCCCAAATTGCATTCCCCTATTCCCAAGGGAATGTCCTCTGTGCTCCGATTGATTTCTGTCTCTGTGTGGGATTTTCTGGCTTTGAGAGCAATCTACAGAAAGTACATATTGATTGGACCCTCCTGGGATGGGTGGGTAGGAAAAAACAACAGCCCTTTCTATCGTGCAGCAAAGCTTTTCTGAGTGAATGGCCTTAGCTGAAAAACTTTATGCAAACTTTAGAGTAAGGAACCCGAAGAACTTCTTGTCAGCAGGAATAACAGCTTTTTGAGCTAATGGGCTGTTCTGAAAAGGGAGAACAGTAAATTTCTTTCCAAAATAAGTAGAAATTAATACACTGAACTCATTAAACAGCTGCCCTGTTAAGTGCTGTAGTGTCTGCTGAAATGTGGCTGCTGCTGAGCAAGATTTGCATTTGTGGGCACTATGGCATCTCCAATTACTGCTCAGCAGTGAAGAAGCCTGCAGGGCAGCAACTATTAGCAGAGGGCTCTGCTAACTGATCCATGCCAGCACTTGTGCTGGACATCCAGTGCTGTTATTTTAATTGCCCTCTGTGTCGAGTTTGGAAAAAGGAAAGTGCTCCCAGAGAAATAAAAGAAAAGAAAAAGAGAGGAATGTGCTTGCAGGGTTTTGCAAATGCTGCAAATCAGAGCACCATGTGTTCTGGGACCAGGCAGAGAGCACACTGTGCACTGTTTGGCACACTGAACCCACCAGGCACAGTCCTTCAAGCAGCTGATGGGAGCTTACCAGTTTTTCTCTAGTCCAATATTGTGTTTAAAACAGACCCAATTGGGACAAATAGTCATGTACAGCAACAGAAGTGTTGATAGAAGAGGTTGTATCCTGTCATGCAAGTTGTTTTCAATGCTAAGTCTTATCCTCTTTTCATAATTTCCTAGGTCTGCTTTAGCATGGAAACCCTGAGAATTTATTCACACCTCCAGTATGTACACTAGCAATGTAAAATTTTGATTTGAATTAAGTTGCAAGCATGTAATTGTTAGAAGACTGTTACACAATGTCAGATCAGTGATCCTCCTGGCTCTGGAAGTAACTCCAAGCTTCAAAAGACAGAATAAGAAGATGTAAAGGAGGTAGGTAAGTGTAAAGATGTGTGTCAGCCCAATAGCTATGGGAATCTTCCCAAGATCATCCAGTGTTGTAGCAGACCATGTTGTGACCAGATTGACCCTCAGCCTGATAGTCTCTGTGACTTTGTCATCCTCCTACAACACTGTTAATATCTCAAGAGGAGAGCAGCAGGATGTGGCTGCATCAGGAGCATCATTATTCTCCTTTGTCATCATCCAAAACATCTTATCTCACCTCCCACTTGGAACTACACCTGGTTTATCAATTGCTAAAACAAAAAGCTACTGATGATGGATGTGCACAAAAGTAGTTTAATGGCAATTATTCAATTACAGCTGGTGACTGTTTTGTGTATCTGTTTTTTTTATTGGAGCAGGATATGCAGACTAGGCAGTGAAAGGGAAAGCTTAGCTCTGCAGGCAGTGCTGGTGGGTGCACCCGGGTACCTGGATGCAGCACAGGACTCCAAGGAAGTGCCTTTTCCCACCCACAGCTGCTGCAACACAGGTGAGTGGGCTGAGGTGCTCCAAGAATGTGGTTCGTGTAGGGGACCTTCCTACAGGCCTAGGAAATATATATTAAACAGGAGGATTAAAGCCTTTCAAAGATGGAATAGATTCTGCTTTCATAATATCTTTCTTTTCAGCCTCCACAAGACTTGGCACAGCCTAGTGTGCTACAAAGCACCCTTTTTTCCCCTTACTCAGAACATCTTGAATTAATTCTTGGCAAAACTATCTAACACTGTGTGTAGACAGGAACAAACTCCAGCCAAGCTGGGTCCTCCTGCAAGGCCACTCACCTGGCTCTCTCTGCTGCAGAACTTTGTGAGTACAAAGATTTGCCCTGTGCTTCTGTGGCAGATGGGTGATGTGGTACAGCAAAGGCACTGATGTCAGGAACCACGCACACAATTGGGAAATGCAGATGTCTAGAACTGACACAGAGAAATTATTCTATAGAACATAAAGGCGACTGAAAATGCCCAGCAAGAGAGTGCAGCTCAGATCAACATCTGCACAGTCAGATCTCGCAGCATGAACATGCACAGGGAGCTCTGCACTGGCATCTCAGTAGCTCCTCTCAAGAGAGGAGCCATCTGGAAATAGCTGGAGGTTTGGCAAGATGACCTGAACTGCCACATCTTCAGAACTGTGGAAATCCCCAGTCTGCCTGTGAGTCACAGAACACTTTCTGCTACACCTTATTCCCTGACCACACCTGCTGTGGTTGTGTGCTAGATGAAAATCAATCCAGATGTGTGTGTCAATTGAATATTCTCCAAACTCTGTCTTCTCTTCAGGCTTCTCAAGTGCTGGATCCATACAGCACCCTGCACAGGCTGGAGCCCAAAGCTTGGTGTGGGAGAGGAATCTTTCCAGGAAATGGGTATCATGTGAAAATGCACCTTATCGACCCTCTGAAGGCACCTGCACCATCAGCATGGCTGCACTCCTCGGGGACCTCCTTCTTTACTTACTGTAACCCAATTGATTTTACTGGGCACTCAGGCCTGCCTACATTTTAAGGTCTAGATTTTAAGGATCCTAAGTAAGAACATAAAGCACTGTCAAGTATTTCTTGGGCTTGTGACTGAGCTGGAGAGGGAGTTCAATATCCTTTTAGCAATTTGCTCAGCTAACATTTTTGAAAATCTATTTGTCTAAAGGGGCAGAAAGAAAATCAGGAGGGCAGCAACTGTAATAATCACTGAATTTGCTTCTGGATTTTTTTCCCTTTATCTTCCAGAAACAAGTGTTATTGCCAAAGTTGATTCTGATTTCCTCTCAGAAGCTGTTCACTGTCTCTTCTATGGGCAGTGCTGAAATATAATGCAAATGTGAGCAGTTAAAGTACCTGAAGAAGACAAAATCAGATTGGTGTAGTAACTTAGTGACGTTTCCCCTCCACCCTTCCTTACAAAGCACTGCTATTTTACAGCAATAGAAATCCTTTTGGAGTTTTGTAGCTGACTCAGAGCTGTAAGAAGAAGAAGAAAAGAAGAGAAAGAGAGAGGTAATTTCCAAAGTGAAATTAAATTAACCACAAAATTAAACATATCCAAAGACACTTGATTTCATGTCGGTTCAGAGGCACTTTTTGGATTTATGCCATCTAAAACCAGAATATCAATACACATTTAAGGACTGATGGTCTTTTAATGCAATGTGTTGCACTTCAGAAGCTTTAAGAAATGTGATTGGATTTTGTTATGCTTAAATTAGCAACTAGAATCTATTTTGGAATGTATTTTCTATTAAAACAAGAAATAATGGAGTTTGTGCAATTATTAATCTCTTGTAATCCCCAGTTTACAGATTTCTTTTCAGAAACATAAGCAGTTTCTTGCAGACAAGATGACATTTACTGGCTTCTTTTTCTTCTGTATGCTGATGAACACCCTAACAGGTAAGATTACTACCCAATTTATTCTTGTTTCTTTTTTTCAAGCCACCAGAAATATCTTCTATTTAGTATTGCTGACATATTAATCCTGGCTGCTCAGGCTGTGAGTTCTGACTAACAGCCAGACTAAGTTGCTTTGTAGAAGTGACTGATTGCAAACGGGGAATTCCTTGCTCTGCTCTTCAAGAAACAAAAATCCTTTGGCTACACCGAGGGTCCTATGTGGGCATTAAAGAATTTGTGAGCTTCTAGGTATACATGGAAAATGTTTGGTTAAAAGAAAGTCTTCCTGTGCAAGAGCTGGTACTGATGAGTTTCCTCTTTATTTACAGATGCCCGATCCATCCAGGATGGAGATGGTAATTCCTAATGTGTTTTTACTCCCTTTGTGTCACTAATAATTAGGAGGGTAATTTGTAACTCCCAGAATTGATGGCCAGCAATGACTTTGGCAGGAATGCTTATTAAGCTCAATGGACTATGGAAAAGCTTTCAATTAGTTCTGGTGGAAAAAGAATAGCGAATTTTAAAAATTCCTTTAAAATTTATTAAAAGGTGGTTACTTATTAATGTATAATAATAGAGCTAATATCCAGTCTTAAAATGAAAAGGGATTACAGTCAAGTCACTAATTCTGTTGTACAAAATCCTAACTGGAACACACCAGACTTATCAATGTATAGGACATGTGAGAATTTTGTCTGTCCTGAACAATAATGCTGTATGTGTATCTGCCTTTTGGCAAGAGATACTGACTTTCATGACAAAAAGCTTAAAATTTACAAATTGCCACAAATCCAATTAGAGAAATGCTGGAATAAATCCCTTAGCACAGTTACCCTGTGGTTCATGTCACTTTGTGTGATTAGTCCATTGGATTAGTGTTTGCCTTTGATTAAAAATACCCTCAGCACCCTAATGATGTTTACACTGGCTTACTGATGATTCTATCGTTAAACCTCTTTTTGGCTTTTCAGACAGAATTCTGTCTGAAAACAGAGTTGCAGAGAAGTATCTGCAATAACCAAGTACTGCCATTGCTGGTGCACATCTCAGTTAACCAGGGGGCAGCCAGCAGCACCTCCAGTGCACAAATATGCAGAGAGTATTATAACAGATATGAACAGGACAAATACACAATAAGGTCTGATATGATTACTTATTCAAACCTTTTTTCCCCTGTGCTCCATTCTATTTCTTTAGAAATAAATCTTTTTAATATATAATCTCTAAAATATTTTAATATATCACCTGTGTTTGTGTACAGCAAATATTTTTGTGGCAACTTTTGCGTCAGTTAGGAGAGCCTGCATCAATCTAGAATTAGAGCCCTGTTCAGGCAGTGTCCTGTTGCTCTCATTACCAGCAATTATTGTTTTCTTTCACACTGGGCCAAGCAGCAGCCTGCAAAGTGAATCTGAGGTCAGCTGGTATAAACAGGGAGTTCTCCTCTGCAGACAGCATTTGGCTGGTTCATTTGGTTTGTTATGTGCCATCTGTGCCTGCACGCTGCAAACTTTACTCCTTAAAATTAAAGTCTGACAACAGGATTTTTTGAAGGCTCTTAATTCCTACTAAAGACCCTGGCCCCAAGCTGAGTGGAAAGATTTTCATTCATCTAAATGGTTTCAAATCAAAATAAAATACTGTGTTTAGCTTCATTGCACAGAAGGACTTTTGTGACTGTGATCTCAGCTGCTGTTTACATTTTATATATGCCTCTCTGTTTGCCCACATTTGGGCCCAAGGGTGGTCAGCTCCTGCATTTTCAGAACTGATTTTGTTTTCCTGCTGAAGTGTAAATCTTGTTTCAATGACTATGTCACATTCTGATACTGCCAGAGCAGCCCCAAATGCAGCAGCTGTCCCCAAGCAGCACAGTCTTTCTTCTTGGCAGGAATATTAATCTACAAACACCAGAGGTTTATGTCCAAAAAAGAAACAGAGGAGTCCTTTTGCTTTATTTGAATAAAGGGAGAGGCCATGGGGCATTCTCCTGGGATCTCTCAAATTTCTGGAGGACACAGCCTCCCTTTTTATCCCAATTTCCCTGCCACATTTCCCTCTCTCTTTCCCCATTGGCTGAGGTACTTGAGATGTACAGATTTCCCGAACACCTAGTACCTAAGATTCCTCTCTAATATATAACCCTCTCTTTTAATTTTTAATTCTTATAGAATTCATAGTTTTTCCTCATTGTTTCTTTCATCTTTCAATATCCAATTTCATTTATCATCAGACCTACAGTTTGTTTGTAAAGGCAAATCTTTTCCATTCATCAATCAGTGGAATCCTTCCCATTGTTTATTTTATCCATCCCCTTAGCTTATTTCCTACAGTCTCCTGTGAAGATGCACAACTCTGCAGTTCCAGGCAATATCAGGGAAGTTTGGCCCCAGTCCCTGGAAGTTCTGTGGGCAATGTGGTCAGCTGCAGGGACACGCCATAGAGGGTGGTGCCTTATTCCTTATATTTTTATATCAAAGCAAATGATGTAGAATGAGGAAAAATGGCTTTTGATTGCAATTGCTCCTCGCTTTGAAATAACCAGCAGCCTTCTAGAAATTAAACCAGCCTGATGAATTCTTGAATTGGCATAAACGTGGCTGTGTCCCTTCATTCCTGCTCCCCATCTTGTCCTACTCTGTCACTCCTGGTGCACCTGGAGCAAGGAATTCTGGCTCCAATTTCTGCAGAGTGGGTCACAGAGAGGAGTCAGTGGCTCTCCTTGCCTCTCTCCTGCCAGAGGAGCATACCAGCCACAAAAGGGAGCTCACAACCCCAAACCATGGTGGCTCCAAGCCCAACCTCTCAACAAAAGTGCCTCATATTATAGTAATCTGCAACATTTTCTTTTGGTTGGGTTATTTTAGATCTCCACCGGGAAGCTGCAGCCTTGCCGTACTGGCCCTTCTCATCCAATGATTTCTGGTCCTATGTGGAATATTTCCGGACCTTGGGAGCCTACAGCAGGATTGATGACATGGCCAGAGCCTTCTTTGCCCAGTTCCCTTTTGGGAGCCACCTTGGCTACCACGTGCGTGACCATGAGCACTGAGTGCCTCGCTCAGCATCGCCAGAGCTGCTGCCCCGGTTTGGGTGAGCACCTGTCTGCCCGTGAACACACCTGGGCTGCCTTCAGCTGCTTTGTGATACCACGGTCATGTGCAGCATTTTATGGCTTCAATGAGTCTCTTTTTTACCATTTCTTGTAAAGGTGTTTGAGTGAACACCTGACCGCCAGCAAACACACCTGCACTGTGCCTCTGCCCCTAAGCGACACTACAGCCACATGCAGCATTTCCGACTTTAAAATAATCCCTTTCTTACAATTTATGCTTCTGTGTGACAGAATAATATACAATAAACTCCTCCATTCTGCTTCATGGCTTTGGGGGCTTTTTTTTACAGGTGATGCTCTCAGCTTTGTCTCGGGAGACTGCTCTCTGTGTGGAAGAGTTATGTGTGTACAGAAGTTATTCAACGAGCACACTCAGGTTAGGGGCTGGAAGGGCCGCCAATATCAGTAGCACCCACCTCTTTGGAAGGTGATGCCTCACTCGGGCCTGAAGGGGCGCAGAGACCGCCATCGCCATGGCGACAGGGGAGGGGTGAGCAAGATGGCGGCCTCCTGGGCTGGTCGTCATGGCGACGGGGGCGGGGCGAACAAAATGGCGGCCTCCAGTGTTGGTCGCCATGGCGACAGCGCTGCCTTCCCGCCCCCCCCTTTCCCCATTGGGCGCGCCCCCCCTCCGGCGGCGGAAGTGACGGCGCGCAGGGGCCGCCATGAAGCCGGCGGTGGACGAGATGTTCCCTGAGGGAGCCGGTCCTTACGTGGACCTGGATGAGGTGAGGCGGGTGCTCCGGTGCCGGGGCCGTGGTGCCACGGCGCGGAGGCGCTCAGCGGCTGCTTTCGCAGGCAGGGGGAAGCACGGGGCTGCTGATGGATCTGGCTGCCAACGAGAAGGCGGTGCACGCTGACTTCTTCAACGGTAAGGACCGCCGGGCTCCGGGGGTTATCTCAGCAAACCTCGCCTGGCTTCTCTCTCGTGGCTTCTGTGCCCGATGGTCGCTAAATTGTCGCTCGCCCATCTCGGGTTAGTGAAGGCGCTTCAGTGACAAGTGATGCGGGTGGGAGCGGTGAAATGCGGGCTTTTCCTCTCCTGGGAGTTTCAGCGTGTTAATCGCTACAAGGAGAAATACTTTAGTCTGTTCACATAACAAATAGCTTATGTTAAACAGTACAAATAGATGTAAAAATATGGGCTACTCTGGACAATCTGTTCCAGTGCCTCACCACCTCTCACAGGGAAGAATTTTTTTTTAATACTTAAAGTTACATTCTGTCAGTTTGAAGCCATTCCCCCTTGTGCTGCATTCCCCCAGGCCCTTGTGAACACTCTCAGTCTTTCCTGTAGGATCCCTCAGGTACTAAAGGCTGCAGTTAGGCCACCCTGATGCTTCTCTTTTTCCAGGCTGAACAATTACAATTCTCTGAACTTTTATATAATTATTTACAGCTGCTTTGAGAGAGGAGCTGCATACCAGGCCTCTTAGGGGTGCAATATACAACACTGTGCTGCACTTGGTTGCTAAAGGGGTTTTTATGCTTCTGAAGAAATACATTTAGACATTGCAACAGTGAGATTTAGATGTTATGAAATCTGCTTGTTGTGGTAGTGTTAATATCACAAACTGGTGTTAATTCCCAAATAAAGTGCATTTCTCATTTTGTTCAAGACTTAGAATACAGGACTGAAAGGCAGTTCTGCTCTCAGCAGTTGTGAGGGACACCCAGCTATCTGCTGGAGCCAGCACATTCATATACCTCATATTTCTACCATCACTCTGTGGTATTGTATTGCATTGGTAGTTTAGGGCTCTTCTAAATGAGGATTCATCCTAGGCTGATTGTGCAGTACTTGTAAATTGCCTTCTGTAAGAATAAAGACTTGTGTTCAGTTAGGTGATCAGCTGATGTTCAGTATACAAAGAAGATGCAAAGTTGAGTTAGGAATAATTCCAAAGGTGACTAGAACAATTTCACTACTGGGACAGAAATGTTATTGGTGCCTTTAAAGCAAGTGAATGTTTTTGAGGAAGGGCTTTTGATTTTAATTTGTTCATCTGCAAAATTATCACTCTGATGCTACATTTCTAATAAGTGATGGTGCAGTAACTCTCATTCACTTAATTCACCTTTATTTCTGTCCTTAATCCAAAGAACTAAGTACTGTGCTTGTATGTACATTTGTAACATTGAAATTTCTGAGGTTAATTTTTGTCTTGTTTTCCTGACTAGATTTTGAAGATCTCTTTGATGACGATGACATCCAGTGAACTTAGTTGCCCAGCAGTGCTGAGATGTGGATTTTTCTCTAGGATCACCTGTGCAGTCCATTATTTATTAAATTAATCAAAATGAGAAAATCACAGGCTGGGGGAAAAAGCCTGGATAAGCTACTTGGGGAATATGAAAACTAGATGGTTAAAAATAACTAAGGAGGGAGATGTGCACTGTTATTTCTAGGAACCTGGCTGTAGTTTTTCCTGGAAATTTTATTTGCTGATGTTCTTATTGAATAAAATACTAAGAAAACCCCCTCTCTCTGGCTTATACTTTAAAGTGGAAATTTCTGTCTTCTGACCTCTCTTATAGGGATTATTTTGGTATTAAATAATTCACTGTTGCTTTTGGATGTTACATAAAAGACATGCAGTAGGGCACAGGCAGCCTAGAAAAGTTTTGTTCATCCCACAATAAAGGATTGTCTTGAGATCAGATGGTTGCTTGTCCTGAATAGTCCAACTCATTTGTTGGTCACACTGAGAAGAGTGTGGGTTGTCTTTTGTTTCGAGACAGAGAGCTACCATCAGTACTCCATTTTTAATTTAAGGAACACAGAAACGAAAAGTAATTTCATCTTGATACATTAAGCAGAGGAATGGTCTGACCCCAGATTATGGGAATGCTTGGATTTAAAGATATAATTTCATTCTTGAAATTGTACTTGATAGAAAAAGAAACCTAAATTTATCTTCTTTTCCTGCGGAAGCTAATGCACTTATTTTTGCTTAGAGGTACAGTAGATATGAATCAGACTGTTGAAACACTAGTTCAGATTTTGACATAAGCTTTTCAGAATATAAAAATGTTTCATTCTTACCCTTCTGTGGCCAAACTGAATCTCAGAATGAAAGAAACAGGTGAGCTTTTAGTATTTTTTTTTCAGAGTCAGGAGTGTAATCCTGTCTAATCTCAAGTGTAATTTGTATTCCATAAATTGATCACAGACTTAATACTGGGACTGATCTTTAAACACTTCACACTACTTAAATTTTACCTGGAGTAAAACACTTTCATACTTCTGTCACATTTTTATTTCTTTAGTCTGCCTTAAAAAAGGAAATCTTAAATCTAACAGTAACTGTTCCAACCAAAGATCTTAAAAATGTAAGCACAATAAATCCAGTAGGATTGAGATGTCTTTTGATTGTGTTGCTGTGGATTTCTGAGCAGCCTGTGTTTCATCATGCACTGTGCTGTAAGTCAGCATTCTGACATTTATTGTGCTTGGTGCCTGACTTTGTGCTGTGTCCCTGGAGGAACAGCCCTGCTCAAGCAGTGGCCTTTCCCTTTCAGTGCCTGTTCTGCTGGGAGCCTGGGGTTTCCAGTTTTCCTCATTGAGGTAAAACAATGTGAGTGGTGGCAAATGGGCTTGGACTGTCTCTGGCCTTGGCACTGTGCTTTCTCCAAACTGTGTTTGGAAATTAGTTGCTTCCATGAAATAGAGGCAGCATTTTGGGCAGGTGCAAAAGATGAAATAAAACTCAAGAAGAAACTCTTCTCTGCTCTTTTATTTGTTTTTGCTGATTCCTCAATATGGTTGGTTTTGGAATGCATCCTTGTCAATGTTTTGTAAATACTAATTGTTTTTCATTTGCTTCCTGAAATTGTAAGAAACTTGTGCTTGAGTTTGCTCCCAGCAGCAGGAGTATATTCTGTGATACAAACCCACCTTGAGCAGCTGCTCTTCAGTATGGATGGTGTTCTCTCCTTTAAAGATGTCTAAAACTCAGTGAACATTGGTTTGAAGGTGCTAATGGTGAGTGATGGTTTTGTAACATCTCACCTGATCAAAACATGGAATTCTCTCTATGGAGCTGGGTAGAGGACAAATGATGCTCCTGGGTCCAGCAGCCTTCATCCTGGTAGGACATAACTATCCACTCAAGGTAGGTAGAGCTAACACACCTTTTTGTGAAGATTTCCACAAACTCGGGGTTTCATGTAGGAAAGCAGCATTAATAATACTGCTGGCACCTGGGAGGTGTGGTGTGTGTGGGTGGGTGGGGGGAGGGAGCTTCATCTGTGCAGTGTTTAAAAGTGTTTGAGTTAATCCAAGTCCTTATGAAGAAAGCTATGGAATCTCATGAGCTGCCTGGGAGTGCTGCTCTGGCTGTAGCTACTGGGAGTACTGGGCCTTCCTGGCTATTCCCAGTCCTGCTAACTGAGCTTGCCCTTCCATCTGATACCTTGTGGGTCTCCTGGCCTGGAATGAAATGAAAGGAACATGCAGAGTTGGGATGGGATATTACCAAACCTGCATGTTGGAGCTATCTGCAGTACGAAGTTCCCTCCTGCGCAGTGAGACTGAGGGTGTGTATCACATCATCTCTCCAGAGAGGGCTGTCAGTGTGTTAACCTTCCATCAGGAGCTGTGATTTGTTTGGATCCCTTCTGGAAGGTGTTAGAAGAAGAACAAAATGCCCTTCAGCTTCACGTTGTTTCTGTGTTCCCATTTGTCAAGGCTTTTGGTCTAATTAGTCTGTGGGCAATCAGCCTGTTGTCAGAAATAATCACAAGATGTCAAAATCTCTAATAAAAATTGATGTAAAGGGCACTTGACTGCCTTGGCCAATTCATTTATTGAGCTTTGATTCCTGTCCCTTTTGTGGAGATTGACACCTCTCATAGTAAATGTTTCTTAGGGAACATGGCTGTTTGAACAGCAATATGCACACATTTAGACTGATGTATGTTAGTTTATAAGCTGC